AACCGCTCTACAGATCCTTCCATTGCATGTGGTGGAGGAATAATATCTTCATCTGAATCCCATACATCCATTCCAAGGTTACTAAGAAGAATAAAAACATCTCACATAAGTTTCCTTTTTTAAAACATACTGTTGAGAGAGAATAAAAAACACATAAAATTCTTCAGAACAACAGAATTTTTCATATGTTAAGTTAAATTCATAGACACTCGTAATTTAGCAAGTTTTAATCTTGTAAATTTATTTGGGGAAGGGCTGCAGGGAAAGCAAAGAAAATACCTGAACTTCATAAGTTTGGAACAAGATCCTAAAGGTTGTGAGGTAAGCACCATATCTATTAAAAAATCTGACATGGGACTAACTTAATCATGCACAGGCTACCAAATAATGATAGCAGTTAAACAAAACAGCAAAAAAACCCTAAAAAAATGCAAATCAGCCAGGTATTAATTTAAAATCAATTGACTACTACAAGATATCATGGGCACAAATAACTTGGGAAAATGTAAAGGTTTGCTGTTCTTAGGTGATTATGGTAAGCAAAAAATTCTTATATACCAGGGAAACAACTACTATGGACAAAGGAGATGAGAACAAACTTCCACTTTCCTGTATTTTTTATCCATAAAACTATTCTACTTTTTTTTTTTAAAATATCTAGTTCTACCATGCCAACAACAGCAGGCAGATCATAAAGCTCATAAAGATATCTTTGCAGCTGCTCTTTTTAGCTTATAATGAGGCAATACAGAATCAATACACTTGTCACAGTATGATAAAACCCCACCAATGTTCACTAGAAGCTGCCAGATTAAAAACATATTTTGAACCATATAAATATATGCATGAAGTACACTGCACTTCATGTTATTCATGTCAGAAGTCTCCAATATATGTGTAGTTGCACATTAAAGGTTTAAGAGTCTTATGGCTTATGACTGGAAGTGAACTCTTAGAACTATCAGCAGACATACTGGAAAATCTTCAGCATACAGCTAAAAGCTTTTGTTTACCTTCTCATTGGTTGTGTTCTGAGATCTGTGAGATACACAAGACCATCCATGTGATGACCTCTAGCATCACCAAAAGCTAAAGAAAAAAAGATACAAGCCTAATGAAGTGTGCTCGAACTGAGCCATAAAAATGTGAAAGGCAAGTTTCTGTTCACCATGAGATGCTGAATTTGAAACAATTCTAACTTGATATTAAATACCTGAGAAGGCTGGCATCATTGCAGCATATTTTCTTTAAACAACTAAAACTAGTAGTGGTAGCAATCTATGACTGAAACCTCTTCAAAACAAAGGGAAAAGGAAAAGATTTTAAGCAAATATACTCCTACCACATCAATTTGCTAATGCTTAAGTCTTGCCTGGAATGAATAGAAAGATAAAATAGAAGATAAAATCTTCTATGGAAGCCAGCACATAAAAGAACTCTAAAGATACTAAAATAAAATTGTAGTATTTGTGAATACAATTATAGTAATTTTGAATTACAACCCAAAATGAGCCTTAGTTCAAACTGTATGAATACCTTGGATTGCCGCCTCTGGGTCCCAGCCTTCAACATCTATAAGATATCTGAAGAAAAATGTATTATTGTCCCGAAGTGTTTACAAATTAATATCAGGACACTGTCTTTTGTGAACAATGATTTCTGTTTTTATACAACCCTTACCTACATATAAGGTAGCCAGTCCTATTAATTCCATTAGTACAGTGAACGCCAATGAGTTTCTCTACCAAAAAGGAAAACAGAGTCTTTAATAGTTCAGAAGTGTAATTAGTGCAAGACACAAAGAAAACCCCAAACAAATCCCAGCTCTACTTTTCTAGCAAAGTAATGATAAATAATGTGTCCTATTTACAAAATTACACTGTCACGCCTGTAAAAGAAGAGACACTTCCAGACGTTGTCCGCTCCATGCTGGATCTCTAGCAGCAGGTACTTCACTACTTCCAAACCTATGAAGGCTGAGATTAATTCTGCAGAACACGGGAAAAATGATAGAGGAGTGGTGACAGGTAAAGCAGCTGGCCTCAGCCACAACTACAGTAGCAGGAGAAAAAGAATAGTCACATTGCCACATAAGTTTGCTCTAAGTTGGTGTCCTAAGAACTCAAATACTGAAAAAAACCCTCAAAAACTATATGTAAAAAGAATCCTCAAAATGTTATGGGTAATCTAAAACAGAGAGAAAGTTACAACAAGTAAGTTAACAAAAAAATGAAAGTTCTCTCAACTCTGAAGTTACACGAGCCCTGCCAAAATGGTCTTACTAGCTGGAACCGCTAGGTCTTCACCCGGTAAAAAAATTGGAAACTGATTCTCTTAATTCTGAGAATCTGAAATTATTAAATTCAAATACGGGCTACTCTTTGTCACACAAAAAATCAGGAGATCAAAACCAGAAGAAAACTAATAATCTCCAAGCAATTTCCCTATGTGAAGAAAAAGCAGAGGAAGAACTTATGCATCAACTTCCTGAGCAAGTACAAAGGTGACCTCTTAGACTTTTTAATTTTACCAGCATTTCTAATTCCAGTTCTCATATCTGAGATTTATGTTAGAGCTCTTTCACAAAAGAGAGTTGACCATGCACAGCAAAACCACAGTTATACTCTGCAGCAAAATCTGTATGCACCTGGGCAGTTAGTCTCTCTACTTTCTCAGAGAAAATGCCAAACTAACTACAGCAAAGAGCATGGAAAAGCTTGAAGGAATATTGGGTAGACAAAAGAGTTAAAATCTGCCTACAAAGAATCACTAGCAAAAAAAGTGAGAAGGTAAAAGCTGCAAACAGGCTTTTCCGCAAAAAGTGCGTTACACCATTTCAGC